TATACATAGGGAGGCTGTTGTCGTGTGTGGCGTTGATGAGTTGTCTGATACATCTAAATGCCCTATGACAGTGACTCCGCGTTCGCGTGTGATGAGCAGTAAAGCTGTTATCGTTGGCGACCGTTGGTTACTCAATACCCCTGCTACTGAAGCTGAAGTTTGCTTTGAAGGTTCGGCATCTACTAAAGTGGACCTACCATCTGCGACCTTGTGGGTAAAGGTTCCCCGGGGTGCTACGGTCCACGTGGGTGAGGTTTCTCTATATCACTTGGATCCTGGTGAGCATAGGTCTGAAGTGGAGTCCTCCACTTTCTATGATAACATCTCTTTTGCTCTTTCTCCAGCGACGGTGGTTCGGGTGGAGTTCGAAGGTCCGACCGTGGTTCGCGTGGGTGTGGTGAACAAAGTGTTGCGTGAGCTGTCGTCGGATCCCGACCTTCGGTTTCGACCGGTGTCTTACTCCTGGTCCTCCGCTGACTCTGTGGTGATATCCATTATAGGCGTAAACATCTGCTTAATTTGGGCTATGTTCATTTTCAAAAACTGTCGGTTCTCCGCCGCATTGAAACTCATGGGAACCTCGCTGGATGATGTTAATGGACGCCTGGCTCGGTCCTTGGAACCGCGTCGCGATAGACCGCCGGCCCAGGCAGCTGCGCCGGGGACGGTGAGTTCCTCTCCTCATCCTCCTCCTCCTCCTCCTCTGCCGGCATCTGCGACGTAGAAGGTGGAGGATCCCAGTTACCAGACTCGTTGGTTCCACAGATTTCTATCTCTGATTACACAAATTTGTTTGTTTGTGAGCGTACATGGTTGTCTTTCCTGTTATACGTCGCGTGCAGACTTAAGGTGTGTTGAGACGGACGCGCTGTGGGCTCCTGGAGTCAGGTAAACGGCCAGGTAACAGAGTGGGTTAGGCCACATAGTACTGTTGTCCAAAATTTTGTTTTTTTTAATCTTTACTAATCACAATTCCTTAGGGGTACATTAACATGAACATGATTACTAACCACTGATTTACATTTTAGTACTGATTTACATTTCTGTCTTTTTTTTTATAGTACCTTTGACCAGTTGATTTTAACAGTGAATATTATGTTTGTGATTATCAATTCTTTGATTTATCCTACGGGGCTATAACCAATTTTGGCCCTGTCCTGACAGTGTGTATTTCCAGTGAGGTTTCACTACCAGTTAGGGTTCTTTCATTTTTCTGCTTCTCACATCATCCCTTTTTGCATCTACCACAGACAGGGCTGCATCCACTTCTTCACTTAATGGGTAATTACATATAAAACTAACACATAGTACAAAAGGCACTCATAGAGTTAGGTTTTTATTATTTTTTATTTCTTTGATGACATGAAATGTACTTTTGTCGTGTCTACATTGAAGTGCCTACACTGTGCTCTCTCCTCTGCTGAGCTTGTGAGGATCCTGCTTCCTGGGGGTGGATCCGTGACTCGTCATCTGCATCGACTACTCCTGGGGGGTTCTCCGGCTCGTTGGTCTTGGACGACTGTGGTTCCGGCATGGCTGCTGGGACACCTCATTCGTTGGGATTACTGTCAGCTGCTCTTCCCTTTTTGTGGATTACGATAAGTACTTGTTCATAGTTCAATTTTTATTTGGAATATTACCCTGCCTGCGGATACAACAATCGATTTTTAATTGGAATACTACCCTGTTCGTGGATACGTTCAAGATTTTCTCCTGCTTTGCTTTATTGCCCGTGAGGATATAAAGTTGCTGTTGCTTCGTTTGTGGCTTCCATGGGGAATAATTAATAACCTGCTGACTTGTGTTCTCCCTGAGGAGTATGCGAGACTGTTCTCCGGTGTGGGGTTCGTACCTCACCACAGATGGCTGTTCCCTTGGGATCACATCCGGTTCTGTTGTCAAGATTCTTCATAACTTGGGTTTGTTCAACGACCAAGTGGTCTCTTGAAGGACCACATTGACCTTGAAAAGGGGGGATATGTAAGGTTACGAAGTTCATTATTTTCAGCTCCACACAGCTGCCCCTGTGCACAGTAACAACCGTGTTGAAAACGCGAAGATCGGGTGTTCCTCAGACTGTTTCCATTCCAGGAGAAGAGTCCGAAGGAGAAGAAGAACACTTTTACTTAATCAAAGTACTTTATTTGTGATTAAAAAAATTAAGCAAAACATATGTTGATCAATAATTAATCAAGTGAATGATCTGTGGAATAAAGATGTCATGATTTGTGTTTAATGGAAACAGGACTATTGCACAGACAGACTGATCCTCATCTCCATAGAAACGCATGACACATTGTTCCAACCAATCAGAGCTTTCGGCTGCCGCAGGAGAAGCTGGCTTGTTGACTTAAAGTATCCAATCCGCTTTACTAAAACTTATCAACAATTCAGAGATATAAAACAAGGCAACGCCATTTTAAGCTCAGTTCCATTTTGACTTCAGTTCTATTCACCGTCATCCTAAAGAAAAGCACAGCCTGGCCAGATGTGTTTTCTTCTTTAAACTAAGAACTGTGAAGTTGGAGATTTTCGTCGTTTCACAACCAGACGACATCCTTTCAAAATAAGAGCACCTGCTGACGCTGCCGATTGGTACCGGGGTCGACCCTTCAGACGGGCTTTGACGTGCTGCGACCGCTGCTTCGACAGCTCCAGTACACATCCGAGGTTCTTGGACCTGGCATTTCCTGATCTACCTGGGAGGCCCCCCACTGGGTACGTACATGGCAAAATAGCGGCTCATGTCATCACTTTATAAGCCTCGTGATATCTAGTCATAACAAAGACGACCAGATTCAATGACGTCAGCCTAAGGAGTCTGAACCAACCACACACACACACACACACACACGCACCAACACAACATCCAAATCCATTTTCATCCATCACAGAGTTAGTCCTGGTAGATTGTTTAAGAATTTATAATTAAGAAATTAAAGATTCTCAAACAATCCCAACTCTCTCTCTTTTCTTGTCTCAAAGTCAATACAGAGTGTTTAAATGAACTCCCTGATGATAAAAACAACCTATTCTTCTGATTATAATAAAGTGATCTACTTACAGTGTATTAAAATACAACTCTAGATAGTTACATCACTTCAATTCCGTTACACCCCTATGGAAAAAAAGTGAGATTTTTAAGATAAAGTATAATTAAATCTTCTTAAAGTCAATGAAAGTCATTGGATTGTCATATTTACTGTTAAGCCAATAGTTGAATGTGTGACTAAAATCTAAACTGAGAAGTGGCCCATCTACTGTTTTGTTATTTTTTCATTGATGTATTTTTAATCAGTTGAAAAACATCCAGTTAGTTCATGCCTTTTAAAAGCAAATAGTAAAACTGGATCATGTCACGCATTAAACTCAGGCTCTGCCCTTCTTTCTAAACTCAAAAGATACAATCACATCACGACTCGCCCTGAGGAGAAAACTAACCCACAGTGATCCTAATCTAAATTTATGTAGATGTTTGATTCTTTCTTAACTAGTCAAATGCAAACATGCCAGCTCATTTGGCCAAGAATTGTGCAACAGAAATATGTATAATCATTATTACATTTAAAATGTCCTGAATAGTCTGGATTAGTTATGACTATACAGCATGGGACATAGAATGAGATGGAAAAAATTACACAATGTCCAAGAAACAGAATGACAGCTTAACTTTTTGCCAGTCGAATCATAAAAGAATGAAACTGTCAAAGAAAAAGAAATCAAGATACCCAAATTTCCTAACAGATGTTTCATTGTATATACATATTAGAATATTTGCATTAACTGTTGGTGGAAATCTTTTTAATTGTGAAGCAGAAAACTAGCGATCATTCAGAAAAGTCCAACTCGACCTTGTTCTGAAACAACAGCCCACACGTCCACTGTTGGATCTCCTCCGTCTGGCTGAGATACAAGCCAATTCCCACACCTTTGCCTTTCTGAAAACCAGACAGGGAAATATATCTTCCTCCTGGCGAACTATCAAGCTGCCAGTGCAACATTCGATTCCAGGGAGATTTAACACGACTTCGTGTTGTAATCAGCAAGAAAAACTCAAGCTGGGAAGCTGTAAAACCAGGGCTGCAATTTATTTCATCTCACAACATCAAATTAGTCATTTTCTACAGAGATGTATGACATGAAGTGAAAATGGATGTTTTAAATACTGTGGATGTGTACAGGGTGTTAGCCCGGGGAAGGTGTAAATGATGGAAGAGGGTTTCCTGAGATCAGACACCACACAGAGAGATAAATTGAGGTGAAGAAGTGACCATCTGTCTGTTCTTTCTCCTCCATGAATCGTTTCACAGCTTAACATTAACTGTTTTTGCAGAACTCGAGGGAAAGAGGGAAGACATTTGGGAGTTCACCGTGGCTCTTTGTGTTTTATTGTCCTTTTCTTAACACATCTTCCTTCTCATTTCTTCTCACATATTTTTCCTATGCCCCCTTGTCTTGCTGTCTTGACTGTCTTGAGTCCCACCACACCATCATGTATTGTTTCTGTTTAATCACCTCTATCTGCTCAGTCTTTTCATCTTTGTTTCCTGGCTCCGTTCCTGAATCCATTCAAACTGTGGATGTTGCCAGTATGCATTAGAAGTATCGTGTTCTGGAGCTTGGTGATTGCATACATATGGGATTTATATCAACATCTTTAAATAACAGTAATAAATGTGGGCAACAATCAGGCCTTTTGACAATTGGAAAAGCTCACTTTGTTGCTGTCTGAAAGGTCAAAAGTCAGCTCTGTAATGTCGCTGATTTAAAACTGGTTGTTAGCATTCAAGCTGCAATATTCTATCAGCAATTAAGCATTCAGATAAATGGGGCGTGGAAGCAGGGGTCCACATTATGAATCATTTTTAAATCTTCTGACACCCTAAAGGAAACACTCATTCATTCACTCTTAGGATTGAAAGCCAGAACAATGTTCAGCCCCTCATTCAGATTGACAAAAACATCAATAATCAGCACGATCAAACAAACCAAATTCTCACCATTGTTGTTTCTTGAATGGAGCCAAAGCTGTTGATGAAAATATTCACTCTGTCCTCCACAGGAATCCCTGCATTTAGGTAAAGGAAAGAAGGTTGAATGCTTTGAATTTTGCATTGCAGGTGGTTTTCAACAAGGCTAAAGCAATTTCAGTGTTGGTCGCAATGTGCCAGTGAAGAAGAAGAAGAAGAAGAAAAGAAGAAGAAGAAGAAGAAGAAGAAGAAGAAGAAGAAGAAGAAGAAGAAGAAGAAGAAGAAGAAGAAGAAGAAGAAGAAGAAGAAGAAGAAAAGAAGAAGAAGAAGAATGCTGACACCTCTCCTCACTTTTAAACATATAAAGTTCTTGAGGAAATCAGACTCCTTAGTTTAATTTTAATTAATTTTGTGTTTATTGGATGCTCCGGCATCATTGAATAAACTCTGTTGTGTCATTCCTCAAATTAATGCATTCTACGTAGATGCTGCACACAGCTCATAGCTCATTTGCATCAAATAAATAAAGTAAATGAATCAGTTTCAGTTCTGTAATTCCCTGAGGAGTTCTTAAGCACTGCTCACCATTTTATAAGTGACAGCAAAGCAACGCACAGGGCAGAGTTTAGGTATTAAATGGGAGAATGTGACATGATTGCTAATGAACACAGAGCTTTCAGCCCTCCCTGAAATCAGGACCAGATGTTTGTCTGCTGGACTCGTCACAGGCACTCTGACCCAGGCCTTAGATCCAGCAGCCAGGCCCCAGAGAATGGAAACTATTTTCAGAACCACCTGATGAATGTTAAAACCATCGATCAGAGTGACAAAATGATCAACTTTCACCGTTGTTAATATTTTTTTATAGATGTGTCTGTGTACTCCCTTTGGTGTGATATAATATTCAGTTCTTCCTGTTCAGTGGAGAATTAACCAAAACTGACAGAAATATAATTTAGCTTCATTTAAAATGAGTTTACTCTTGTTTCTCTTTAGTTTTTAATGTTAATGTGTTTTTTTGTGACATGAAACATTTGAAGGGCAGCAGCATGATGGATCGGTGTCTGCTCTTCAAATGAAAATGCAAACACAATCGCCGCAAAGATTCCAAAAACAATTCAAAGTTTTGCAAAAAATCATTATTTCCTTGGTTAATAGCAAGGTGTTACTTTTTTGCTGCTGAGATTTTGAACAAAACGTTTGTGTGACAGATTCCCTCTCAAAAGAGTTTCTGAGACCTCAAAGGTGTCTGAACCCTAGGGATGTATGACAATAACGGTATCGCAATATCTTGTGATATTTTTTCCTGCAATATATCAATATTCAAAAGCCGTGTATAATTTTTGGAAGAATTTTCTTGCAAACATTTGTGTATTTTCTTTTCTTTTGGTGCAATTCAAATGCCAACCGCTAGTTGGCAGCAGTGTGCAGTGGGTTTTGTTTCCACCGCTGAAATGTAAACCCCTCTATTATGGTTCAGATACCTCATGTTTAACATGTTATGTATCAGTTTGGACAGTTTTTTTTAAACATTTTTACAATAAATTCAGTCTAAAAAATCGCTAATATCATTTGACTGAATGTATTGCAATATATTGTGATATATTGTATCATCTCTCCTGAATTGTAATACATATCGTATCGTCAGAATTTCACCAATAAACATCCCTACTAAACCCTGTCTGAAACTCTTCTCAGCCTTCAGTTTTCATCAATCAGAAAGAGCAAAAAACAGAAGTAAAGTTTGGGAGGGATTAGTAAACAATTGAAAATAAAATGATGGTAAATTGTGGAGAAATTAAGACTAAATTAAGACACATTGCCTAAATTGTGAATTGAGAATTTACACATTTTCCTTCAAGACCATGACCCAACCACTTAAACATAAAACTCCTTGTAAGTTGTATTATTTACTGCGTTTCTAAGTTAAAATTTTCATTATTTTTGTAATGTTTCTGTCTTTGGCATCACCAAAAATATTAAATTCATCAAATTAGTTGGCTGATTAAAAAAAACTGATTTTAGATTTAATTGAAATGCTATTGAATCCTAGATTTGGGCAGAGTTTTTTTTTTTTTTTTTTTTTTTTTTTTTACTATGAAGTGGGTTTAAAAAATATTATGTATAAAAAAATTGGCCTCGTAAAATCATTAGTCATTTAATTATGTTTTTAGCCTAGAAATGTCCACAACAGTTAGTCTTGTAGCTTTAACTGACTTACATTTTCACAACAGGAAGTGCATTTTATGTTTATATTGTGCAGATAAATCTGACTCTATTCGGAGAAGTCCGTATTTATAATTAGCTTGCTAAGAGCTCAGCAGAAACCTAAATCAAAGCAAGACACAAGTGGACAAAGAAGAGAAAGGAAGACACTTACCTTTGAAGTTGGGCCGTATTCTGGGATCATAGCTGATCAGTAACCTGTTCAGTATGTTACTGGTTGAATTTGCAGGGACTCGAGCCAGATCCTCAGATGACAGCTGTCTGCAAACAAAAAGACAAAGGAGGGAACTTCAGCAGGTCAAATTCCTGGCAGATGAAAAACACAGATGAACGGTGCACCCTGCTTTGTGTATGCTTTAATTAAACTGTAAACAGAGAGAACTTCCACTTGGGACTCAACGGGCTTTTCAATTTGGACCACCCACCAAATGTTAGAGTGAGAGTTAGACAATGTTCAGAAATGACATGTGCGTCTATTCTGAGATGCTTCCAGATAATCCCATGAACCCTGAGACTGAAGGAAGATGTTTTGAGGTTTGTGCCTTCAGAATTATTCTCTTCTGTTCTAAAGTCATGCAAAAAAATGAGTACTCTATTTTAAAGTTAAATCCAAACTTGTTTAAAAACTTTTAAAATGACCAGACACCCCAATTTACAATTAATTCAGTACAAAATTCTGCACAGTGTACACTATACAGGTCATCAGATGTTCAGGATGGGGTTTGTGTCGTCTGACACCTGTACACACTGCACAGGGGGGAGGGGCTTTTCTTGTTGCAGTCTCCCTGGTGTCCCTGTGCTCTGGGACAACACCACAAATATCCATCCGTCTTCAGAATCCTCTACAGACAGTTGAGAGAGGCATATCAGGTTCCAATGTTTCCAGGAGTCCATGATATGCCCAACTCTTATTCACTCTTAATTTGTCATGCTGATGATATAAACAGACACTAACATATGCAGATCAGTGGACTCAGTGGTCTCCTACAAAAAGCAGCTGAAGACTCAGTTGTTCAAGCTGGCTTTTATATGACCTTCTTCACCACTCTCTCTTTATTCTGCTCTCCCCACCTATTTCACCTTCCTCAGGATCCACTGATTTCCCTCTTTCCTATTCACTCTCTCTCTTTCTTAACATTTCTTCTTTTAAATCACAATTGCTTATTCTTGCTCATTTTAAATATATTTTTAAACATTTTCGAAATGCTTTTTTATATTTTTACAATTTTTATGTTTTTTGTTTTTGTGAAGCACCTCGTGATTTTTATCTTGAGAGGCGCTATAGAAATGATATTTTCTTCTTCTTCTTCTTCAACTCGATCTGCCCCAGAGGGCCATCCAGGAGCCCCTTCTCTCGTTCTCATCGTTGAGAAAATTTTGTCAATTGCGTTGAAAGACCAGCTGACCAGGCCCATTTTTAATAAGTTCCAGTTTCCAGAAAAAATGTAGAAGCACCGTACAGAAGAAAAAGTTTAATTCATAATTAAAAATTTTAACCATTGATTTAATGGTTATTTATGTAAAGTTCTCTTCAAGAGCTAAGCTGTTCTCAGCCCTCAGGTAAAACCAAGGTATTTCCTCTTCAAGTTATGAGTGTATCTTATAGGGCAAACACAGGGACACAGAAAGAAATGCAAACAATTTTATTTTTAAACATAGTTTCTAGTCTTGAATGTTAAAAAGAACTCTGAACATCTAAGGAAAACTAAATAATCATCCAGCTTAAGGGGAGTGCTAAGATATTTGTTTAGGATTAATAGTATGTGTGCATGAGTAATGTGTAATAAAGGTATTATGTAAATATCACCACAAGGAAAAGTAGGTTTTTAATCATATGTCTAGTTTTGATATAAACCATTTAGTATTTTTACGTCTAACTGCTTAAAAAACACAATTTCATCTGAAAATTAGAATTTCATCATCATGGGTGGTGATGAGTTATCCTGCTGAAGAATCCATTCTTCCTAAATGACTTTACGATAATATAAATATTAATATGCATTCAGGAGGATGCAACATGTTCTACAGGATCTATGTGCAGTGTGTGTAGGATACGTAGTTCTCCTGATCAAAGTGAAACATGTAATTCCCACCCACAAATCTTCCTTTTCTTCCCCCTTGTTTTAACCAACCTTTCTAAAATTTCAAGCCCAAGAGCTTAACTGGAACCAAATGGTTTCCGTGATCCAGAAAGACATCCACAGTATTAAACATGAAGTATGGCATGCAGCGTGCAGTTGCCAATACGCAGACCACATCAAACAGCTTATTACTCATTTCAAGGAGCTTCCCTGTGGAGCAAGTTGTTACCATTAAAGGAAGAAAAAGTGTTCTTTGGTGAATAAAACCGCGGAATGCATGTCATGCATTGTTTATCCTGTTTGAAGACATCGACTGTACTCATTCCTTTCATTTAACCGACTGCAACTTATTCCTTTCATTCTTGACACAACTGCTCAATATCTTCCTGGTGAACCTTATTGATCCATGTGGAATGATCTGTTCAGAGGTTAATAAAACCTGGAAAATAGTATGGATCACACACATAATTTATTAAAAGTCACGCTTCATCTGAATGTAAAGGAGAGATGGTTCAGATATTTTGAAGTGAGGAGATCTTACGAGTCTTCAGCAGACTGCATTTGGAGCAATCTCAGATTTGAGAATCAGAAAGAAAATTGTTAAACTCAATCGATCAAATTAATTTTCATTTAAAATGTTAATACCTTCTATTAGGGATGTTCGACACTGGCTTTTTACCAACTTCTGAGAGACTGATATGGATTCACTCTTAATTTGTCATGCTGATATAAACAGACACTAACATATGCAGAGCCCACCCCCCAGTAAATATGCGGTTTACTCATGTGATCAAATCATTTGCAGATGTCTCTAGTAGGAGTGTAAGTCATGCTCTGGGGGAAAAAAGCACTGGTGTGCCTGTGTCAGGATCTAGAAGTGAGGCATATCAGAGCTGAGCTTCAGACAGGAGTTGGAGTCTTATTTCCTGACGTTTGGAATCCTCTCCTCTGATTGGCTAACAGCAATGTGACTCTACCACTGACTCTGTTTGCTTTACAACATGGATGTTTTATCTCCACAAATAACTCAAGCCTGAAGGACTTCTGCATTGTGGGAGAGTTACTAATGCTAACGGTTAGCTTCCACTAGCTGAGACGTTCTCTGCTGTTTCCTGGACGCTAAACCAACAACAGCCTTCCCCGTCGTGGGTCAAGGTGGGTGAGTCCATGAATGTTGTGACAGTGTGACGTGTATCTGTCAGGCTTTTCTAATCTTAGAGTTTCACCATCTATTTTATATCAGAAGCTAATGCAGGAGATAGGTGTAGGAGACTATTTTCATTTTCAACCTACATGATTGATTGTAATCAGAAATAATAACTTACAAACATTTTTTCAAGTGAACTACACCTTTAAAATAAAGAATTAGGTGACATCACACATACCCTATCATATATAAACTTTAAACAGTATCTGTGCAAATTATGAAAAAGTACTTCAGTTTAAGTTACACAATAGAAAAAGTGTCATATTTAATGTCCAACAGCACTTTCACTCTTAAATACTCCTGAAAAATGCTCACTACACAGGGGAACATTATACTTCTTCACAAGTTGTGCCAAATAAACAAAAATATACCAAAACTATACCTTGGATCAGTCATTTTTGATGTTTCGAGCGAGAAAATTGGCTGAAAAGTCTGTATAATATGTGAATGTATGTGAAAGTTTTGTCATTAAACAAGTAAAAACCAGTACAGGTAATTCACAATTTTAAAGGGGCATTATGGAAGTTTGACAGCCAAAACATGTATAGAAATAATAAATTTCTTCTTCATACATTCTCCTGCAATGCCCTTGTCCTGTAGAATGAGCCCTGGCATTTTTACTGTGTCTGCCTGTTTTTCTGTAAAATCACAGAAAAAGAGAAAACTGCTCGGGTCAAGCAGGCTGCTTCATGCGCGTTCACGCTCAGGCATCGCCCGTAGCATTTGCTATCCGCAGCTTTAGCAGCAGTACCTACTCAGCGACTTTGTCGCTTTTCCTAACGCCTAGTGACAAACCTAGCTACATTTCTGAGGACCCTTAGCTACTTTCTGTAGAACTTTCTTCTAGATATTTCCTGCAAATTAGCAACAAAATAGCCATTTTCGCTCTGAACCGTTCTTTGGTTTGACGTAGTTTCAGGTGTTATTAAGGATATAAAAGTTACAGAAGCTGTGAATGTTACTGGTGTGTAGTTCACCTTGTAAGATGTCTGACTCCCATGCAGAAGACCTGAGTTCGATTCTGGATGTGAACATAGTTTATTTATAGTTTCATTTTTACATTAATGCTATTTTTTTTTACAGTAACATGCCCAAATTTTGATTTGAGACTCGCCGAACAGCATTGAATTCACAGATAAAAAAGATGTGGGTTCAAATTTCATTTTGGAACAATTCTTCAAGCAAGGGAAGGGAATGATCTTAGCATGCAGGGAGACTGCCCCTTCTTAAACCTTTGTCAGCTGTGCTGAAGAGAAAGGTACAGAACCAAATTATTTAATTAATTAGCTGCGCGTTCTCCTGTCCTCTGTCCTCCGGGCCACACACACACATACACACACACACACACACACACACACACACACACACACACACACACACACACACACACACACACACACACGGGGGGTGGGGGGGTGGGGGGGGGGGTGCTGACTGTCTCTGCTGTTATTTTCGTTAAGGAGTGTGCACGTAAAGCATGCGCGCCTCGTGCATGAGCCTACTATTGAAGCTGACGTTACACTTTTGGCCTGAGGGGGCAATCGCGAGCATAAAAATTCAAAAGTCCGTAAAGTCCCTTTAAAGCTAAATTAAGTCGATAACATCGGACAGCCTCACTGTCAATGTCAATTAATGATGATCGTATGAATATGTCCCCTATGCCAAAAATTATCTTGCTGAGCTTCTTGTGAAAACTTGTGAAGAGAATGCATTCAGCGACATGGTGGAACAATGTCTCATGTGATGCAGCCTTTAAGCTATTCATTTTCACATAATCCACTCCACATACATTTTGCAAGTGTGTTTGTAAAAAACAAGAAAAAACTGAATATTTCAAAACTTTATGTAGATATTGTAATCTATAACCATACTGGACACATCAAGTTGTTATTTTGAGAACAATAAAAGCAGGAAAACACTTCCAACATTTGACAAGGGAAATAAAACAGAAACTACTCTATGCTTGTTTGACCTGATGTCCTGTGCTAAAGTGTTTTTGCTGCATATCTTGGTGATGGAAACGTTTTACACTCAGGGTCTTCCTATCTTCCCTTCCCTCTAGTAATTCTTCCCCTACAGCCCAGCCTGACCTCCCACTGCAAAGAAAATATCAGGATGTTTTTCAAAATGTCTGCAATGAGGTAAGATTGGAACAGATGGATGCTACTTTTTAGTTTTGCAGTGGGGCAAGTCTGGTTTTTGATAACTCTAAATGTATAAGTGTGCAACATACAATATGACACTGTTTGCTCTGTACTTACGATGGACAGTAAACCTGCTTCCCTTTTTTCTTTCCCTTCTTTGTTCCTTTTTCTTTTGCAGATCCTCCTTCTAGGTACAGACACAGGAGCAGAAGAAATATGGCAAACTTCTTCTTATCCATTCTGGTGGGACTGGAACCTGGAAAAGAGAGAACAATGAACGACAGGATTATTTAAGTTTGTATGTGTGTCAAAACATTTAAAAATCATTAAAATACAACAGAGCATGTTCAAGTGTGAATGTGTTCAGTAATGCATCTGGACATTAATAATATTAGAACTTTTCAGTTACATATCACCCTCAGAGGCTGCCTTCAATAAATAAATATTACTTGAAACAATTTGAGTCTGCTTCCAGAACCTAGAGAGAAAAATGTTGATAAGGATGTTTTCTGTTTGGATCATCAGATTTATTTTATTGTCATTAAATCTATAAAAAATTGTGAGATTTATAATTTTTGTGGAATAATTGTTAACAGTTAAGTGCAGTCAAAGCTGAGCCAGAAGGTGAAGCTCTCAATTTATTGGTCAGTCTACATTCCTACCCTCACCTATGGTCACGAGCTTTGTCTAATGACCAAAAGAACGAGATCCCGGATACAAGCTAACAAAATGAGTTTTCTCAGGGTGTCTGGGCTCTCCCTTAGAGATAAGGTGAGATGCTCAATCATCTGGGAGGGGCTCGGAGTAGATCCATTGATCCTCCACATGGATAGGAGCCAGTTGAGGTGGCTCGGGCATCTTTTACACTGCCTCCTGGATGCCTCCCTGGTGAGGTTTTTCAGGCACATCCAACCAAAAGGCAACCCAAAAGAAGACTTAGGACACGCTGGAGAGATTATTTTTCTCGGCTAGCCAGTGAACGTCTTAGGATTCCCCTGGGGGAGCTGGCCCAAGTGGTAGTAAAATTGGAAGTGCATTGATGGAAATAATAATATGCATTTACAAAAGCACACAGACACAGACCATTCTTTTTCTTTTTTCTTTTTTTTTTTTTTTTTGTTGGGGCCATTCATCTTGCAGCAACCAGTGCGTGTGTTCCCCATGTGGTGCACTTTTATTGCATAGGGACATCGGAGACAGACAGTAGAGCTAGGAGAGCTCCCTTCCACCTGGACACACACACTACCAGCAGAGCTGTATATTATAGAGGCAGCTTTGTGTCTAGACTGAGACAACTGCTCTCCTCCTCACAGTCTTGGCCCTTTCAACTCCTAGATTGCACTTTGATCACTTTTCTTCTGGGTAATTTTTGTTCAAGGCTTACCGTAATTTAATGCATTTTGTCTCAATGTTGAGCCTAAGCTAAGACAATACTGCTGTATCGATTAGATAAACTTGCACAAAATCAGAGCAGGTTTTTTACTTGGCAGCACACATCTTATAAAATATTAGATGGAAAAAACTGGAACACAGTCAACATTCGTCTTGGCAACTCCAAGTGACTCCTCACAAACCATCTCTTGTGGGACTGTGTGCATGCGTACGTAAGTGTGTGTGTATGCGTCGTTTTCAAAAAGACAACTTCAGCTGCTTCAAAATCAATTCTTGTTTTTTTCTGGCTGAAAAAAAGACACTACTCTGCAATCACATTAAACAACCTAATGCATTCATGAAATCCTAAAATGACCACAAACATGTTCTCACTGATCAAGGGGCAGTGTAGTCAGAGCTGATTAATGACTTCTGATTAGATGACAAATCATATCTTGAACCTCGAGGTCACCAACCAGGGACCTCTGGAGTCTCTGTTCCAGCACACCTGATGTGAAAGATTGAATTACCTTCTCAGTGTGGCATCAGGTTCTGCAGAAACCTGTTAATGACACAGTCATTTAAATCAGTAGTGTCTAAGCAGGAAACCATCTGAACCTAGCAGGATCTGGGGTTTGGGATTTAGCTTGTGTGTTGCTCATATTCCATAAATAATGAAACAAGATAATTTCTTATTTAGTTTGCTTGCAGTTCTATCTTTAAAAAAATATATATTACTACAATGATAAACTAGTGAAAATACTGTTTTGTTGTTTTTTCTTGCTAAATTGGGATTCAGCGAGGGAGATTTTGGTTGAATTGGAAAACTCACAGACCACACCAGTAAATTTCAAATAACATTTTACTGGCTTTTATCGCTATGTGAGAGTCATAATCAGCTGTCATAATTTGCAATAAATGACGGTGTGACAAGTCCAACAGTCCCTGAAACAGCTCATGTCTATCCAAATATCATCCAAGATGGATCAAAACCACAGCTTTTTTTCCTGTGCTGTAAAAACAAGAACTACAACAAACTAAACATTAGCAAAGTGACTTCCTTACACGCACTTCAAGGAGAATCTTTGAGTCAGTGGACACACAAAAGTGAGTTTGTTTTGAGAACCTTTCATCAACCCAATTTCATGATGATTGTGTGAATTGTGAAATATGGAAAGCGGAATAATTAATATTGGTGCTCTAAGGGCTGTTTCAGGTTTTAATGTATGTTTTTATTTTATTTCAGCACATTTTTGCGATATTTTTATGCAGTTGTATATGTATATAATCATCAAACTAGTCTATACGTGCTTTAACAACCTGATATATTTATAAAAATTAAAAAACACACCAGCAAACCAATATGTGAACTGAGATGAGACCCTAACAAAACCTTGGCTCTGGCTTGGTCAGCATTGCACCACTGATGGAAGAGCATTGTCCTTGCTGCGTTTTACTACTGGCAATGTTAAAAGTGCAGACGTTGTCATAGTGACTCAAACTGCTTTATATGGCCTGCCCCAAGCAGTTAGGTCAATGTCCAGCTCTGGTGTGCAGATTTAAGGCCTAAGCTTCCATAGTTCACAAACACAGTTTTTTCAGGGGAAAAATGGAAATTGTTGAATAATAAGATAAGTCATATTTTTAACCACCAATGCAACAGAATACCTAACAACAGATACGGTAATTAGTTTTAAAATGTCTACTTTTTATAAGATGGCATCACAGAATTTCCCTGATCCATACTTCAGTGCATCAATTGCTACTCTTACCTGAATGCTTAACCACCTGCCTGTGCTGTTCATCACGTGCAGAGCACATTATGCAACAAATGCAAAACAAATGAAGACACAAACCAGAGCTCTCACAACCTGTGGCTGCACGTCGCTTCGAGTCTCTCTCCAACAAGAGAAAAGTAAGTAACAGAGGCTGACACTCGCCCGGAGCCTCACGGGCATCGTGAGAGCTGCAAACGGTAACCACCATGACGGAGGGATGCAGGGAGAGGCTGCCGATACATGTGAGCGCACGCACGCGATCCCACTTCATGCCATTAACATGCAAAACGAATAAAAATAAAGATAAAACCCTTTAGCACGAGGCAGGTCTACTCACCGTCTGGGGTTACCACTGCTCCTCACAAAGCTGGATCCACAACAGCTGAGTGTGCAAAAATAAAAATCGTTATCAGATGCGTCCAGTCCAGTCGCTGTCTTTCATTTCCATTCTCTTCTCTCACTTCCTGTGAAGCGATGTGATGGGTGGCTTTGAGGAGAAAGTTACATCTCGGCAATTTGCCAATTTAGTTGTTGTTTTCGCGCCTGCTTGTTGTTATTTTTAAATCAGTGTGTGTATATGGCCGCTGCCCTTTCGCCTGAGCTAGGGATGCCCAAGATGGAGGCTTGCGTGTACCTGTCATGTAACATGCGCAGTAGCGGCAGAGAGCGTGGAGCAGGAGAGGAGAGCATCACTCCAATCAGCACCACGGACAGCCGCTCCCCGCCTCGCGCGCACCCACGGTCTCCGCTGAGACGGCATGACGCCAAAAAAAAAAAAAAAGGATATGCTGCCATGCACGTGATGAGAGTTAAAGCATCAACATTCATGGCAGTGTCTCTATTCATGCTGGGGATAACAAAGAGCCACTGAATAGAACCAGGGATGCAGGATAATTTGAGCTCTATCAGATCTCCATGAAAATCCCAAAGTAGAATAGAGGTTATTGGTGTGCAAGTCAAACATCTGATTTGGGGTTAAAATAATTCACTAGAGAGGCTCACAGAAAGACAAGGAGGCAACATATAAGGACTGTTGCAGTAATTCTGAATTTAAACAGGAAGCAGCCTTCTCTGTTGTTGCTTTGTAACATTTTATCTTAATTAGGTGTGTGTGAGGCATACAAGGGAACTTCTTGTTTTTTGTTTTGTTTTGTGTTTTGTTGCATCATGAAATAAACAATGTAAATGATCTACTTAACATGTATGTTTTCTAACAGTTTCACCTGGTATGTTGATGCAAGCATGGTTTGATGTTCATTTATAACCAGTAAAGACAATTAGTCCATGTCAAACCAAATCAGATTAAACCTCCCACTGTCCTAATGGTTGTGACCCCGTGAGGAAAGTTGACCATTGAGCAGGGTTGATGGTTTATCTCTTGAGGTCCATTTGGCAGGGGTGAGGAGTAGGCTCCACATCACCCCTGCCACGTGGACCTCAAGGGATAAACCATCAACCCTGCTCAATGGTCAACTTTCCTCGCAGGGTCACCCATTAGGACAGTGGAAGGGTTATAGCATAAAATAGAACAATCCAACACAGCTGTGACTTTGTTTTCTTTATTTGAGCAAAGTCGGACTAAAATTTGTACCCAAAGGTGTTAATACATTCTGTAATAACATTTATTTTTACAGGTAAGTCCCACTAAGACACAAGGTCTATTTTTCAAGTCGCTTCACTGGAAACTACTTAGTTACATTCTCATGTGTGCGTTGTATTGAATAAAAGCATCAAGACCATGAAAATGACCCATCCTGTTTGTCCTGGATAAACCTCGGGGTCCTCCTGCAGGAAGGACATGTCCGAAAGACCCTCCCCCAACTGCCTTCCAGGAGAAATTCCTACTAAATGTTCAAACCACCTCAACTGGCTTCTTTTCTATTCACAGTCAAGGCTGAGCCCAACCATTCTGAGAAAAAAATATTCCAACTTACATCTTGATTTTGTAATTTTGGTCAGTACTCAAAGCTCAAGACAAAAGTGTGGGTTAGAACAAAGACTAACCAGTAACTTAAATCTTCACTTTCTAGTTTAGCCTCCACTTATTAAGCAAGTCAGAGCCCAGCAGGTAATCCACCCTTTTCCAGTAGAAAACCATAGCCTTGGATTTGAAGGTATTGATACTCATCTAAGCTGCTTCCCACCATTAAGTTGTTGGTCGTATGAAGAAGCTAACAGAACCACCTCATCCACAAACAGCAGATATTTTCCTGCCACAAAAACTCAACACATTTGACACAGCACATGGTCAAGTTTAAAAAATCCCCATGCCCCTTCCAACACCCTATGGACAAAAGTCTGGTCCATAGTTCCATGCAGATGTCATGTCTCGTGGTACGTGCTTAACCCAAGACATGCAGGAATCTGACTCGACGAGTAGGTAAGATGAAATTAAAGTCTTTTATTAAAAACGGGAACAAAAGATGCACAGGGAAGTCCTGTGGGGAGGGTGAGCAGTTGCTCGAGTCCATAAACGTTCGGGGAGAAACGATGTGAGAAAGCTGAGGTGAGCTCAGGTCAGTCCAGGGGTGATCAGGAACAGGTAGACAGCGGAAGGGGTCAAGCCAGGCACAATGTAAGAGGATGGGACGTGGTGTGAATATCCAGTCGGTGAAACAGCAAAGTTGAGACAGGTTGGATGATAATCTATACAGGAGCAATCATCTGGCGTAGTGAGGTGTCTCCATCCTCCTTTTATACCCGCGTCCCTGATCGTGGATCTTCTGCAGATGCGGCCCCCTCTGCTGTCACCTGTGGGAAATCAATCTGATAGCGTGAGATGGGGATCGTGTCACTCACCTCGGCTCAGGAACATGGCAGTGCCCCCCCCCCCCCCCCCCCCCACCCCACCCCCCACGCGGACGGTCGGACGCGGATAAACATGGCGGACCGGCAAGAACTAGTATGGCAGAGGTTCGTAAATACAGACATTTGTATGATTCAGCTCTCAGAGATAACCGTGATCAACATGTTGTTAATAATTCTTGGAGAGAAATAGCTCGCACTGTCGGAAAAGACGAGAACGCTGTTAAAAATGCTGAAATGCCATGTTGTAAACAGTCATTTTTACTTCTACTATGGTGTAGTGTTGGATGCATGCCGTAGAGCTCCATGCTGCCCCGTTCAGTTTGGGAGAATATTGGCTCACCGCAGAGACAAGCCGCACGAACCATAAACGCTGCGAGTTGTGAAGCGCGTTCCATCCGCGAGCCGTATCACCAAGCGGAAAGTGAATGCGTCAAGCATAAACCAAGCTTAACCCTCCCAGTCGACCAGGCACTGTATTCCTCGACCACGGGGACGTGAGTCGAGGATGCGCCGAACCTTGTAGACCAACCCCTCCTTGTAGAACTGGGCAGGGGGAGGTGAAGCCGGAGCTGGGCACAGGGGACTGGAGACCACAGGCTTTACCAGGGAGACATGAAAAACAGGGTGGATCCGGAGAGATGATGGAAGGTCCAGACGTATGGTTGTTGGGCTCGGAACAGCAATCACCTTAAAGGGACCCAGGTACCTCGGTGCGAGCTTTCTAGACAATGCTTTCAGGGGGTACATCCTTCGAGGAAAGCCAAACCCTCTGTCCGGGGACGTAGGTAGGTGCTGGGCGACGGTGACGATCAGCCAACCACTGATTCCTTTCCGCGGTACGTTGAAGGGCCAATCTAGTAGCCAGCCATGCACGACGGGCCCAACGAAGAAATTGGGGAGTGATGCTGGTGGAGTCTGTCTGGAGTGGAAACAGAGATGACTGATATCCAAGAGAGGACTCGAACGGGGACTGACCTGTGGCGGAGGAGGCGTGACTGTTATGGGCATATTCGACCCAAGCCAATTGGTCACTCCAGGAAGACGGGTTGGTCGAGCAGATGCAGCGTAGAATGGCGCCCAGCTCCTGATTCATTCTCTCGCACTGGCCGTTGGTCTGGGGATGAAAGCCAGATGTTAAAGCCACCCGGGCCCCTAAAGTGGTGGTGAACTCCCTCCACACCCGGGACACAAACTGGGGGCCACGGTCAGAGAGAATCTTGGTCGGTATCCCATGGAGGCGGAAAACATGCTTGATCAGGAGCTGGGCTGTGACTGCGGAGGTGGGAAGCACCTTTAACGGCACTAGGTGGCAGGCTTTAGATAACCTGTCCACTATTGTGAGGATGGTGTTAAATCCACGTGAGGGGGGTAACCCACAATCAAAGTTAATAGCAATATGAGACCACGGGCGAGAAGGTACAGGCAAGGGACTGAGTAGTCCAGCCGGTACTTGGTTGGTACCTTTTTGTTGAGCACAAACATGGCAAGCTGACACGTACTCCCTCACATTCTTGAAGATGGATGGCCACCAGAACGAGCGCCGAATCAGGGCTAGGGTCCGACCCACTCCAGGATGGATAGAAAACCTCCCGGTGTGAGCCCAGTGGATCACTTTCCCTCGCAGCTCCTGGGGAACAAACAACTTATTTGTTGGTCCATTACCTGGGCCGGGGTCCACCTTGATGGCTTCCAGCACCTGATCCCTAATAGTCCAGGTCACTCCTGCAAGGATGCAGGAGAAAGGCAAGATGGTGCCTGGTGTCGCCTCATGCTTGGAAGCGTACTGTCGGGACCGGGCATAAGGCTTAGTGTTCTTCGACCCTGGCCGATAGGACAGAACAAAGTTAAAACGAGTAAAAAACAAGGACCACCGATATTGTCGGGGATTTAGTATCTTTGCTTCCTTGAGATAAATCAAGCTCTTATGATCAGTCCATATAACAAATGGAAGTTCAGACCCCTCCAGCCAGTGCCTCCACTCCTCCAGAACCAGCTTCACGGCCAATAACTCCCTGTCTCCTACATCATACCTGCTCTCAGTAGGCGTAAGACGCCGTGAGAAGAAGGCGCAGGGATGAAGCTTGTGGTCGACCGCAGATACCTGAGAGAGCACTGCCCCAACCCCAATGTGTGAAGCGTCCACCTCCACCGTGAACTGAGTTTTAGGATCGGGTCTGGAGAGGACTAGAGCCTCTGTGAACCTTCTTTTGAAAGCCTGGAATGCTGCTTCTGCCTTTGGAAACCAAGAAAAGGGTTTAGTCACAGAAGTCAGAGCTGTTAGAGGAGCTGCGGTTTGTAGTTACGGATGAACCGACAGTAAAAGTTCGCAAAACCCAGGAATTGCTGTAGCTGCTTCCTGGTAGCAGGGGTGGGCCAATCAGTCACCGCTTTTATTTTGTCAGGGTCCACCTTCAGTCGACCACTCTCTAACATAAAACCAAGAAACTTAACAACAGAGACATGAAATTCACGTTTCTCTGGCTTAACAAATAATCTATTCTCCAACAACCGTTGGAGCACTGCTCGTACATGTTTTTTATGTTCAGAGACTGATTTAGAAAAGATTAAAATGTCATTGAGGTACACAGTTACGAAGTCATTGATATAATCACCCAAAAACGAGTTCACAAGCCTCTGAAAGACTGCTGGGGCATTAGTGAGACCAAATGGCATCACTAAATATTCAAAATGCCCCAAAGGTGTTTTAAAAGCAGTCTTCCATTCATCTCCTTGTCGGATCCTGACCAGATGGTAAGCATTGCGAAGGTCCAGCCAAGTAAAAATGGTGGCGTCCTGGACCGGCTCGAAGGTGGATGAGAGTAGTGGAAGTGGGTACTTGTCCTT